GAGAACAAGAACAACAATCAACAGAAACAACAGTGACAAACAATAGATCATGTAAAAGAGGCAAAAGCCAGATTTAAATATGCCCTTCTCAAAACAAACTCACTGCCATCAAGTTATTCCAACTAATACTGATTCCAACTTCAGCCATATCCATACCCCAGACGTGAGACTCTAATTCCAGCACACACTCAGTAGAAGGAAAACGAGGCTCCTTGATTTGGAAGCAGTATTGAAAAATTTGTGTAATCTTAAATAATGATTACACAAAGCAAATTGTGACTCAATATTCTGGCGCTTTCTCTATCCGTTTTAAGTTTTGCTCATAATTTTTGTTTTATTACTCTCAATTTTTTTTTCAATTTCATAGTATACTACATACCATCAGTACACTGGACTATCCATGAAACAAAATAAATAAATAGTGATAAAAAAGTGAGGCAATTACTTCAATATTAAAACAGATATAATCCTAAAACAAATTAACAAAAGCTTAAGTTTCTAACAAAGAAAGGTATTATCACTCTGAAGCCAATTTCAAGTTGAATAGTAAAGTAATTTTATGCCTGATTTTGGAAATGAGAGAGCAACCCAACCGTCTATGGGTGAATTCAGGCCAAATTGCTACTGGCCTTCCACAAAGGACCTTCTAGAATTCCTGGGGACAAAATAGAGATACTGACTTATTCATCAGGTTATTTATTTAAATGTTACGTGAAGATCAGGTGCAAGACTCTGTTTCTATAATTATTCCATCATTCATTTATGCCATTAGAGTGTCTAGACATTTAGAAGACAGAACAAACTCACTGATGAAAGTAAATATGATTTAGAAGAGAAACACCATTCAAAGAGGATGCTATATGAGAGGATGATTCTAATAATGTGAAAATTTTTCAGCGATTATTATATTAATATGGGTTTAGATGAAATTAATCAACTTCACTAGGACAGGTTTCTTAGAAATTTCTATAAAACCAGTCAGTATTCTAATCATTTTTTAGAGGTCAGTTTGGGTTAGCACCATGTTGTAACCAACACTGCAATAAGGGCTTATACTGAGCTCAGAGACTTGGTTACTTGGAAAAGAGGTGGAGGAGTCTATTCTTAGTTCTGTGGATCTCAATGATGGTCAGACAGTATTTGGAATTTTACAATAACTTCAAGGAGAGATCTTGTAAAAGAGACCAAAAAAAACAGATTCAAATATGCCCTCCCCCAAACAAACTCTGTGCCATCAAGTTGATTCCAACTAATAGTGACCCTGCAGGACAGAGTAGAACTGCCCCCAGGGGTTCCCGTGGCTGTAAATCCTTATGGGGGTAGAAAGTCTCATCTTTCTCCCATATAGTAACTGGTGGCTTTGAACTGCTGGCCTTGCAGTTGGAAGTCCAAAGAATAACCCAACTGTAATCCAGGGCACTCTATTAAGCCTTTAGGATCCCTGAAGTCAAGTATTAAGAATTCCAAATTAATAATAAGAAAGAATTATGTAAGGGCTCACACCTGTAGTAGAGTGATACAACTTTTGATCACATATACATTTTGTACTTTTAGGGAAAAAAATATTTTGGCTATTAGATTTATTCATCCTAGGAAATACCATAATGGTATAGACAAGCAAACTTGCATTGAAAACCTAAGGACTAGGATTTCAATCTCAGTTGTACAGTTAGTAGTTAATTTGACTGCTTTTAGCACTCATTTTGGGCAAATTCAATGACACAATAGTGCCAAAGGTAGAATTGATATGTCTTGGTAAATCATGATGAAAAACTGTAAAATTCAGATGAAATAAGGAAACAAAACTTAAGTCTTTAAAAAGTTGTGGAGAAAGGAAAATGTAAATATTTTCTGAAAAAGAATGAAACTAATATGAGCATATGAATAGTGTTAAAGGCAATGGGAAAAGCCTAGTAATTCTAAGAGAATTGATTATAAACCCACATTGTATACATAGAGAGTATCATTCAGGAACTTCTGATTTAAGAAAATTGTTTACAAAATGCATGTATTGGATGTTTTCGTCCAAGTAACACACGTGTAGAAGCTACATGAAAAAATTCTCTAATGTAACAAGAAGAAAACAAGTCAGTGATTTCAAGATAAAAAAGATGCATGCATGTGTTAAAGAATTTTAAAATGTATATATTGTATACGTGTTTTTGGTCTCCCAACATTAATTTTAATCTTTTATTTCTTGTCACTTTAATGAGCTTTAATGAGTTCATAGAGTAAGTAGCTAAGGCAAATAGAAGAAATGGTGAAGTCAAAGAGCTGAACAGAAAATTTCAAAGGGGAGCCTGAGAAGACACAGCAAAGTATTAAAATAAAATGTGAAAAGAACTAGAATTAGAAACCCAAAGAGAAAGAAGACACCCAGAATATCTTACTTTGAAAGAACAAAAGAAAAATTCAGCTTCATGTTTTGATATTGAAGGATTCTATGAGCAAAATATTGAATAATACAGGAAATGCCAAAAGATTTATGGAAAGAATACCCAGAGTCACAATACTAAAAACAATTAATCAACATCCCACCACTTCAAGAGATAGTATATGAGCAAGAAGCAATTGTGCGAAAGAAAGACGTTCAAGCTGCACTGTAAGCAAATGCCAAAAAATTATGTTGTGTGGGGGTGGTCCAAGAATTGATGAATACCAGTTAGAGCATTCAGCAAGCTGATGAAGTAGTAAAACATTCATCTGTCTATGCCAGGACATTTGGAAGACAGCGACGTGAACAACAAAGTGAAAGAGGTCCATATGTTTACCCATTCCAGAGAAAGGTGACCCAACAGAGTGCTCAAATCATAGAAAAATATCATTAATATCACATGCAAGTAAACTTTGCTGATGATCATTCAACAAATGTTGTATTAGTACATCGAGAGAAAAGTGTTAGAAACTTGGGTCAGATTCAGAAGAGCATGTGGAACAAGGGATATCATAGTTGATGTCAGATGAATGTTTAATTGCATTTTATTGACTAGGCAAAACCATTTGACTATATGAATCATAGCAAACTATGGTTAGACTGGAAAAGAATGAGAATTCCAGAACACACATTTGGGCTCATGTGGAACCTGCACGTGGATCAAGACAAGGGAACACTGCATGATTTAACATCAGGAAAGGTGCGCATCACTGTATCCTCCCATCACACTTATTCAATCTGTATGCTGAGCAAATAATCAGAGAACTTGGATTATATGAAGAAGAATGTGGCATAAGAATTGTAAGAAGGTTTATTAACAATCTGAGATATGCGGATAGCACAAACTTGCTTGCAGAAAGTGAAGAGTACATGAAGCACTTACAAATGAAAATCAAGGATTACAGCCTTCAGTATGGAAGACAACTCAATCTATAGATGACCCAAATCCTCACAACTGGACCAATATGTAACATCAAGATAAACGGAAAAAAGGTTGAAGTTGTCCATGATTTTTTTCTTACTTGGGTCTACACTCAGTGTTAATGGAAGTAGCAGTCAAGAGATCAAGTGATGCATTGCACTGGGTAAATCTGCATCACAAATTCTCTTTAAAGTGTTGAGAAGCAAGGATGTCACTTTGAGAACGAAGGTTTGTTGGACTGAAGCCATACTGTTTTCAGGTGTCTCATATGCATGTGGAAGTTTGACGTGGAATAAGGGAAATCAAAGAACAAGCAGTGAATTTGAATTCTGGTGCTGATGAAAAAATATTGCGAGCATTTTGCACTGCCAAAAGAACAAACAAAGCTGACTTGGAAGAAGTAGACTCAGATGCTCCTTGGAGCCAAGGTTTGTGAGCCTTCATCTAACATACTTTAAACGTTTCATCAAGAGACACTAGTCCCTGCAGAAGGAGACGTTCCTTGGAAATGTAACGGGTCATTGAAACATAAGAAGACCTGCACCAAGGTGGACGGGCACAGTGGATGCACAGAAGGGCTGAAACGAGTGAAGATGGTGCAGAGAAGCAGTGCTTTTTGTTCTGCCGAGCATTGGTCACCGTGAATCAGAATGGACTCAACTGCGTCTAACAGCAACAACGTGCCTTTAATTTACATTCCAATAATTCATGGTTGATTCCCAGTGTACTCTCCCTTTATTTGATATGTTTTGTCAGTTTATTTAAAAATTGATTAGAATTAATGGAGCAGAATTAGTTCCTTGCCTTAAAGAATATATCATACATGTGAACACATATACAGATGTGTCAGACATTATTTTTAAAATTACATTTTTAAGTGATGGCATCTCTCCTGACATAATTGGTGTTGTAACTTGATAAGTGATGATGGCAGCTAACAACAATGTTTCCTGTAAATGGAAGAATCACATTTAGTGGAAGAAGTTTTATTTATTCTGGTCCTAGAATTATATCTTTACATTATCCCATAAATATGGCACAATTTCTTTAAAATAGGCTTATCATGTTGATAAAGAAAGTAGCATGTATTTACATGAGCCAAAATTACTCTTAATATAATAACTTAATAAAATACAATTGCATTTTGCTTGAGTTAAAAATAAATATTTTATAAAACATTGAAGAAACACCTTATCTGCAATTAAAATTAGAAATTATCAAAACTTTAGCTCAGTCTTAACTCCTTGTATATTTCAATTATTCTTACTCTAAAATTTCTCATATACCCTGCTCTATCTGAGTAGATATGGAGGGAAATAGCAAGCAGTATTCTGGTTTCTGCTGGGGATAAAAAGAAAGAAGAGTAGACAGATAGCTGGATGGTAAATTTAGCCTCTTGGTCCTTTAACAGAATGGTCCACTGTTAGGAAGAGGTGTCCTCAATGAGACCAACTCACTGGTCTTGCGGTTGTCTTTTTAGAGAGTACATACATAATGGTATACATCATTAGATCAATCAAAGGTAACTTCATCCTCATCAGCAAAGATGATCTCTAGTATCTCAGTGATATAACTTCTATGTTCCGTGAAATTTTAATTACTAAGACAAAATATGATTTGGACTCTCTTTATTTTTATTCCAAGGGCAGCCTTGTGCTTTTCCAAAAATCAATCATGGGCATCTGCTTCATGCAGAGAGATATCGACCGTACTTTCCAGTAGCAACAGGGAAATATTACTACTACTCCTGTGATTCGGGTTTTGTGACACCTTCGCAGTCTTCTTGGGAATACATTACCTGCACGAGAGAAGGATGGACACCAGAAGTCCCATGCCTCAGTGAGTGAACGTCCTTAAAATTGGATATGGCTGACTCTTTCAAGAGCAGCGGGAAGAGCTCAGAAGCGATTGCAATTGTATCTTGTACCATTATATGGAGCCTTCAGAAGAGTGGTCGCAGCAAAAACCCAAAGAGTTGTGTGCTTTTGTGAATGAGTATTCATGAAACTCAAATGAGAAATAGAGGAGAAAATGGATAAAAATATCCCAGAGTTATACTGCAAATATTTGAATGATACATACTTAGTGCAAATAGCTTTGAATATTTACTTTCCTTCTAAAAAATATGTTGGAGTCGCCTGACATTTTGTCTTCTAATTCATTAGTTTTAGAATCTTACATACGCTAATTTAAACACCGCAGAAATAAATTTCAATACACTCTCTGACCTGATTTGCACTTTTAACTTATTACTACTATTATTGTTGTGGTCCATAGGAAAATGTCACTTGTATGAAGTGGAAAATGGATATGTTTATCATGCACAGCGTGATTATCTACAAGGCCAGTCTGTAAATATTCGGTGTAATCGTGGCTACAGTCTCCCGAATGGACACACCTCCATCACATGTACGGAGCAGGACTGGTCCCCTTCTCCCAGATGCGTTCGTGTCAGTAAGTAATATCTCAGACGGTTTGTAATTTCATAGCACTGGTATACACTCACCGTGGAGAATGCATGTGTCTTGATTAGTCAATGGACACGATGCATTGTTTTATCTATATGTATGCATTATATAAAAGCTTCTTAATAACTATTTAGCAAAATAAATGAGCTTATTTACAGACCAAAGGAAAAATACAATATTATATTTTTGTTAAGTGGGCTTTCCAGCTTAAATTTTGGAGTGTCTTAAATGTAAACTTTTTTTGTCTTTCGTGATATTTGAAAAGTTTTCTAATACCAATTATTCAATATTACCCTCTGTGGGTTTTTTTGTCTTTTTATGGCCTCCTCCTATTTTAAATTTCAACATATGAAAATCATTTCTCTTGATCCTGTCCCACATAATTCTTAGGCTTTCTTCATTTGGTTCCTGATTTTTCTGCATATAAATTAGTATCTAGGTCTTGGATTCTATAATTGACTGAATATTACTCTTTGATCCTTGCAAAATTTTGATCTAATCTTCTGGCTTTCTGCTTGCTGTTTGTGTATGGTCTCAAATTGTCTATTTATTTTGTCATTTTCTGTTTGTATTGTTTTATTGAAGCTGTACATTGTGTTGTCTGTGTTTTTCTTAATTTGTTTGTGGTTTTCTTGAAGTATACATAATTTTTAAAATTGCTTTGCAGGCATTATTCTTCATCATGAATATTGATTGATATCTTAGGCGAGTGAGCTGAAATGGATTGGCATGGGCCATTTGAATCAGAAAATCATATGATTTAGTATACCTGGAATAGCACAGTCAGGAGGAATGGCATGGCATTCATTGTCATAAAGGATCTTACCAAATCCACCATGAGTATAGTGTTATCAGTGATTGGATTATATGTGCCCACCTTCAAGGAAATCCAATCAATAGAACTATTATTCAGTTTCATGCACCAACCACAAAATGATGAATAAAGTGAAGAATGCTACCGATGTCATTACTTGAAAATTGATCAGATATGCAATCAATATACATGGATACTTATTGTAGATTAGAATGCAAAAGTTGGACACAAAGAGAAAGAATAGGAGTTGGAAAATATAGATTTGGGGATAGAAATGAAGCTGGAGATCGCATGATAAATTTTGCAAAACCAGTGACTTGCTCATAGTAAACCTATTTTCAACAAAACAAAAGGCTACAATATATATGGAATTCCCCAAATGGAGTATATAGATATAAAATTACATCTATGGGAAGATATTATGGAGAAGTTCAAAATCAGCAGCTAAAACCAGATTACAGACTATCAAATGATCATATATAAATTCAGGATAAAGGTGAAAAAAAAATCCACAGTAGTAAAAATATGACCTTGAGTCTATCCAACATGAACTTTGAGAATATCTCAAGAACAGAATTGATGCTTTGAACACTAATGACAGAAAACCTAATGAGCTATCGGAGGATATTAAAACCATGCCTGGCTACCAAAAGATATAGCATTTGGGGTCTTAAA